GTTCAGTACTCTTCTCCAGTAACACAACTCAAAGGCATAGATTCTTCTTTCATCCTTAGTCACTGTCCAGCTCTCAGAAGCATAGCAAGTAATTAAAAAGAGCATGACCTGGATCAGGTGCACCTTAGTCTCTAAACAGACATTGTTGCTCCTCGGCACCCTGGATAGGTTCCTGATAGCAGATTTCCCAAAACAACTCACCCTTTGATTTCCTTTCTGTTGGTGCTAAGGGTGTTGATTTGTGAGCCCACACAAGAGTAAATTGATAACAACCTCAATCTCTTCTCCTCCTATCATCATGCTGTTTTGCATGAGCAAAGTTAAGTATTCTGGGATTGCTATTCTTCTCAATGTTAGCCATAATTTGTTATGATCTACACAGTCAAGTGCCTTTGCATAGTCAATAAAACACAAATAGACATTCTTTTCTTCTCCATGCTCCCAGTCCCCTTTCTACACATCTCAACACCAATCTTGCTGTGTTTCTGAGTCCAAAATCCAATGTGATGGCTCAGAGACCACACAGAGCAACACTTGGGAAGTCAAAAAGTTAAAATTCAGGTTAGTAACAGAATACAATCACCTAGTCAGAACAGTTTCTGCAATGTGCTCACAGGCACCTCAGCCTTGAGCTTCATGGCTTTAGGCCAGTGTTATAAAGTTCTTAGCCTTGCCAATGTTGGCTCTCCCCAGAATCCTCAATAAACTAGAGCAAAAGGCTCTTAACTATGGTCTAATCGCATAGCAGTCCTAATGTCTGCTCTGTCTCCCATGAGGTCTCTAGTTCTCTGCTTCAGCCACTGCCACTGCCACTGCCACTCTTAAATCTAGCTGGTGCTGCAGCTCTAATTTTAGCTGGGATGATAATTTCTGGTCCCAAAGAATACCCACGTATGCATGCTTCTCTTCTGCTGAAGGTGAGAGGCTTTCCTCTTCTGCTCCTGGATCTGCTCAATTTAATGACAAGATTAGCCAATCCCCGGAAGGATTAGTGAGACTAGCCAATCTCCTTGTGGTTAGGCTAACAAGCCCTATTTGCATATTCTTACTCATCCACATGGCAAAGTCTAATACGGTGACATAGCTTTCAGCATCACAGCAAGCCACAAGTTATCCTATTACAGCAAGCTGACAGACAAGTACTATACTAGCAAGAAAAAATTACTAACAAGGAAGCATGTATACACCTAAGCTACAAAGTAACTAGCAATATGCAAATCATTTCTCTCTCAAATTTAACAGAGAAATGTTGTACCTCTAGCAGCAAATCAGGCATATGAATATCATACTGCTGGGTTCAGCTGAGCTGAGGCCCACTGCAGCATAGCAGGATGGGGCCCTCAGTGGGTGCTGGGGTATTCTGGCTGAGGCCCATAAATGGCATGATGAGGTAACATCCTAAATGTGGATATGAGAGTGACAGTGATGGCTCAGCAGGGTCTTCAATGCCAGTGCTCCACACAAGGTCCAAATCACAGGCCTGAGGGCCCCAATTGTTGTTGTTGTTATGTGCCATAGAGTCGCCTGCGACTCATAGCGACCCTATGTACAACAGCCCTAAACTGCGCTCTGTCCTGTGCCAATCGC